TTTTTCCAAAAAAAGTTCACATCGGTTTTCTAATTTACCTTGTACTTTATTAAACTACCGCTATAAATAACTGACATGGTAACTGGTACAAAATATAATATGGTTATTATTTGAAACCATAACGAACCCTCCATAGTATCATCGTATTGGAAAACATATCGATAAATGGCCAAAAATATCAAAACATAATAAACAAATGCGATCCCAATATAAGCCATAATCTGAAATCAAAACTCAAATTGAAAATAACTTTCCCATTCTTGGTTTGCGGAAGGATAATATCAGTTAAATTTCAAAAAAAAGAAAATAGAATGTGACCTTGAGTGAATAAAAATTGTTGACTCTTCCCATAATTTCCGTTAATTCGTCATGTTGTATCCCAATAAACTTAATTAGTTCAATTTGTTTCATTTTGCGTTGTTGCATGGTTTCATTTGAAACGGCACCACTTGCGACATTTTTTCTGCAAATAAATATTTTTTTTTATTTTTCAAAAATGTCAAATGAAATTCACAAACACAAACCCGAGCAATGTGTTTAACATTTCGTAACGTTCACAAAGTTCAAAAATCAATAAAACATATGTTGTGTGAAGCATGTATGAAAAACCACCGGTAATGTTGAATATTATGAAAGATTTTGCCATTTCAGACAATGAAACGCGTTTGAAATTCACGTTTGATGTGAAGTAGGTTGAACTGCATAGCGTTAGACTTAAAGCCAAAGAACGGAAATAGCACACAAGCATATGTCGTCGCTTAGCTTTGTAGTTCAAATCAAATCCATATTGAGCAATCTTTGTTGGAATGAAAGTTATATGGATTTCAATCGATTTAATCAAAAAGTTAAACATTTTTCACATACCTTTTTATCAAATCGGTCAAGTCTTTTAAAAATGTGTATTGATTTTGAGCGATTCCACATCTCCGTTGCAATGATTATGGGTGGTATAAAAAACTGAACAATCTCAATTATCATATTTAACGAAAACAACATATTCACACCACTTGAATAAATCACTTTCAAGTAGATCCACACAAAACATAAATATATTGAGATCTTGGCCATAAACCAAAGTAAATCGAAAATTTTGACTCGAGCTTTATGAATGTCACCATTTCCATCACATTCAATTGAGAATGGAAAGAGTCCTACTGCACGAGAAAATATGTACATTGGACAAAAACATCGAATGAAATCGTTTTGAGACGAACGAACCGGAGTCACGGCTTTAGACACACATGGCACCAAATTTTTAATGGAATCAAGCATTTTTAGTTGGTATTGCGTTCAGAAAGAGTGAACTTTTATTACTGTTTTTTAGAACAAAATACGGAAGGGAAACATGTATTTTTCGGTGCTCTTTTATTAAACCATAAAATTTTGTTCGTTCAATTAT